ACCCCTAGATCGACGTCGTTGCCATCTTCCTCAACCTTCGGCCACCGCGACATTGCCGTTCGATCCATGCCGCCCTGAGCTCCCCTGTCTTCCCCTAGGGTGACATTAACACCGTCGTGATCTCCTCTTGCCTTTCCCGAGTTTCTCCTCTCGTTTGCTCTCGTTAGGTATTTCACCATGGCCGAGAACCGCCGTCCGCCATGGCCATTGCAGGGGTAGCCACTGAGCTCCTCGGATTGACCCCGTGGCACATGCCCGCTCCTATGCGCGCCCATGCCCGAGCCTTCAGCTCTTCTTCCGCGCCCGCGGGCCACTCCCTCTCTGGCTCTCCATGCCCACGCACGTGCCACACCGCGTCCGTCGTGCCCGCCGTTGCCATCACGCTCGCCACAACCACCGCACCACTATGCCCCGTGCGACGCACACCCTGGTCGCACGTCACACCCTCGCTGGTTGCGCTCGCTCCGTCTGCTGCCACCTATCCCTTCACTCGCCCCGCTGTCACGCCCCTGCCTCGCGCCGCCTCTTGTCGCGGCCATTTCTATCGGCCGCCCCCTCAGCCACGCTGGCCACATCTCTGCCCTCCACCGTCAGCCGCTCGCCTCGCCTGCTGCGTGCTTCTTCCTGCTGCTATGCGCTGCTCGACCACTGGTATGCTGTTGTGGCATGCCCTCGACACCGCCGTGGACAAACGTGGCGGAGGGATTGTCAATGGAGTACGAGGAGGAGGTGGCGGAGAAGGTGTGGAGAGGCAAGAGCCCTAGGGTGGCGTCAGCTGGCTATGGTGGAGGTGATTATGTGAGAAGGAGCCGGAGCGGAAGGAGAGGTCACAACTGGAAAGAATCACAAAAAAATCATAACCCGGAGATTTCATTCCAAAAAATGCTAATACCGATGGAGGGGTGATTTCCTTCAATAGGTGGAAAACATAGGAAATATTGGATGTTATCGAGGAAAGGTAAAAATTTAGGAAAGTTAGGATTTTGAACTGATTTCTATGCAAATGGGGTTTTATTGTTTGGTAACATGATATCAGTACCTGTCCGTTTGTGACATGTCTGATTAGGAAAGTTTGCAAATGTTAAGAAACTATTTATTGGGAGGAAAGTTTGTGACGTGTCTGTTATTTGTTTCCTAAAATAAATTTTACTAATGAGAGAAATCTATTGATTTAGATAAGTTAGGAAAGTTAGATTCAAATCTATTATTTGTTTATTAAAAATTTGTTATTTTTTTGGAGTCCGGCTTCATCTAGCACC